CTGTGGTAATGTGTAAATAGCCGGACGGACCAGAACGAACCAGGCCGAAAGCCAGGAACACAACATGACAGTGGTGGTGGAATGGATCGATCGAAAGTGGGCGAGCGCTTCAGACCCATGATCAAACACAGCATGGATCGAACGACAGTGGACAGACCCACAGACACACAACCACAGACAACGACACACAGCATGGACAAGGAACACACACACACACACAAAATAACACGCATGGACACGGACACACACAAACGGAGGAACACATGGACATGGACACACGGACCGGCCATGGAATGGACACAGGAAGGACAGTGGAAGGACAGCCCACACAGGACCCGACACAGAACGGACACAGCACACGAGACCGACACAGCACACAGACCCGACACAATGAACGCACAGGAGACACGGAACGTGGACATGGAACGCATGGACACACACAGTGAACGGACCAACAGTGGACAAAGGACAGAAGGACACAAAGGAAGGAATGGAGAATGGAGGAAAGGAATGGAATGGAGGGAAGGAAGAATGGAAAGGAAGGAAGAAGGAAGGAATGGAAAGGAAGGAAGGAAGGAAGGAAGGAATGGAAGGAATGGAAGGAATGAATGGATGGAATGGAATGGATGGAAGGAAGGAATGAAGGGAAGGAATGGAATGGAATGGAATGGAATGGAATGGAATGGAATGGAATGGATGGAATGGAAGGAATGGAAGGATGGAATGGAAGGATGGAAGGAAGGAATGGAATGGAATGGAATGGAATGGAATGGATGGAATGAATGGAATGGAAGGAATGGAATGGAATGGAATGGAATGGAATGAATGGAAGAATGGGATGGGTGAACTGTAGTAATGTGTGTGTGATGAACTGTAAGTGTGTGTGGATAGGAATTGCAGTGTGTGGATGAACTGTAGTAATGTGTGATAGGTAGGAATTGCAGTGTGTGGGTGAACTGTAGTAATGTGTGATAGGTAGGAATTACAGTGTGTGGATGGACTGTGGTAATGTGTGATGGGAAGTTATTGCAGTGTGTGGGTGAACTGTAGTAATGTGTGATAGGAAGATTTTGCAATGTGTGGGTGAACTGTGTTAACACGTGTAATAGGAAGGTGTTGCAGTGTGTAGGCGAAGTTTTTTTATGTGTGATAGGAAGGTATTACAGTGTGTGGGTGAACTGTTTTAATGTGTGATAGGACGGTATTATAGTGTTTGGTTGAACTGTTTTAATGTGTAATGGGAAGATGTTGCAGTGTGTGATGGAACTGTAGTAATGTGTGATAGGAAGATATTACAGTGTGTGGGTGAACTGTGGTAATGTGTGATATTAAAGTATTGCAGTGTTTGGGTGAAGTGTGGTAATGTGTGATATGAAGATATTGCAGTGTGTGGATGAACTGTAGTAATGTGTGATAGGAAGATATTACAGTGTGTTGGTGAGCTGTGGTAATGTGTGATATTTGAGTATTGCAGTGTTTGGGTGAAGTGTGGTAATGTGTGATATGAAGATATTGCAGTGTGTGGATGAACTGTAATAATGTGTGATAGGAAGATATTGCAGTGTGTGGGTGAACTGTAGTAATGTGTGATAGGAAAGTATTGCAGTGTGTGGGTGAACTGTAGTAATGTGTGATAGGTAGGAATTGCAGTGTGTGGATGAACTGTAGTAATGTGTGATAGGTAGGAATTGCAGTGTGTGGATGAACTGTAGTAATGTGTGATAGGTAGGAATTACAGTGTGTGGATGGACTGTGGTAATGTGTGATGGGGAAGTTATTGCAGTGTGTGGGTGAACTGTGGTAATGTGTGGTAGGAAGATTTTGCAATGTGTGGGTGAACTGTGTTAACGTGTAATAGGAAGGTGTTGCAGTGTGTAGGCGAAGTTTTTTTATGTGTGATAGGAAGGTATTACAGTGTGTGGGTGAACTGTTTTAATGTGTGATAGGACGGTATTATAGTGTTTGGTTGAACTGTTTTAATGTGTAATGGGAAGATGTTGCAGTGTGTGATGGAACTGTAGTAATGTGTGATAGGAAGATATTACAGTGTGTTGGTGAACTGTGGTAATGTGTGATATTAGAGTATTGCAGTGTTTGGGTGAAGTGTGGTAATGTGTGATATGAAGATATTGCAGTGTGTGGGTGAACTGTAGTAATGTGAGATAGGAAGATATTACAGTGTGTGTGGTGAACTTTAGTAATGTGTGATGGGAAGGTATTACAGTGTGTGGGTGAACTTTAGTAATGTGTGATGGGAAGATATTCCAGTGTGGGTGAACTTTAGTAATGTGTGATGGGAAGGTATTGCAGTGTGTGGGTGAACTGTAGTAATGTGTGATAGGAAGGTATTGCAGTGTGTGGGTGAACTTTAGTAATGTGTGATGGGAAGGTATTGCAGTGTGTGGGTGAACTGTAGTAATGTGCGATAGGAAGGTATTGCAGTGTGTGGGTGAACTGTAATAATGTGTGATAGGTAGGTATTGCAGTGTGTGGGTGAACTGTAGTAATGTGTGATACGGAAAGTATTGCAGTGTGTGAGTGAACTGTAGTAATGTGTGATAGGTAGGAATTGCAGTGTGTGGATGAACTGTAGTAATGTGTGATAGGTAGGAATTGCAGTGTGTGGATGAACTGTAGTAATGTGTGATAGGAAGATATTACAGTGTGTTGGTGAACTGTGGTAATGTGTGATATTAGAGTATTGCAGTGTTTGAGTGAAGTGTGGTAATGTGTGATATGAAGATATTGCAGTGTGTGGGTGAACTGTAGTAATGTGTGATAGGAAGATATTACAGTGTGTGGGTGAACTTTAGTAATGTGTGATGGGAAGGTATTACAGTGTGTGGGTGAACTTTAGTAATGTGTGATGGGAAGATATTACAGTGTGGGTGAACTTTAGTAATGTGTGATGGGAAGGTATTGTAGTGTGAGTGAACTGTAGTAATGTGTGATAGGAAGATATTACAGTGTGTGGGTGAACTTTAGTAATGTGTGATGGGAAGGTATTGCAGTGTGTGGGTGAACTGTGGTAATGTGTGATGGGAAGGTATTGCAGTGTGGGTGAACTGTGGTAATGTGCGATAGGAATGTATTGCAATGTATTGGTGAACTGTAGCAATGAGTGATAGGAAGGTATTACAGTGTGTGGGTGAACTGTAATAATGTGTGAGAGGAAGGTATTGCAGTGTGTGGATGAACTGTAGTAATGTGTGATATAAATGTATTGCACTGTGTGGGTGAGCTGTAGTAACGTGTGAGATGAAGGTATTGCAGTGTGTGGATGAACTGTGGTAACGTGTGAGAGGAAGGTATTGCAGTGTGTGGGTGAGCTGTAGTAACGTGTGAGATGAAGGTATTGCACTGTGTGGGTGAGCTGTAGTAACGTGTGAGATGAAGGTATTGCAGTGTGTGGATGAACTGTGGTAACGTGTGAGAGGAAGGTATTGCACTGTGTGGGTGAGCTGTAGTAACGTGTGAGAGGAAGGTATTGCAGTGTGTGGGTGAACTGTGGTAATGTGTTGTAGGCAGTTTAGTATGTGGGATAACTGTACTAATGTTTGATGGTTATTCCATGGTGACGAAGTTTGATGTGGGTATCACAGTTGTGGTTTGCACCTCAAGTTTACAGTATTTCGGCAGCTGGTGATCACACAGAAACGGAAAAGGGTTGTGAAGAGACTTTTTGATAGTTAATGCTGATGTCGCTTTATTGATTTACCGAAAAATACGTTTATGAGACTGGCGGTAGCTTGTTTAATATAAATATTGGCGCGAACAGTGAAGAAATAGGTCTTTGAAATGCAAGAATACATGGCCAGTAGTGAACATTTTAATGAGCCTTCCCTCGCGTATTAATAAAAATATAATCCCTGCACTGTACCTTCAGCCTCACAAGGACGGCCCCTGTGTTGATAATATTCACCATTGCAGATGCAGCATACCTATATATGTGTTTTAACGAAAACAATATGTTGCGTTTTTCAAGTCCTGAAGAAAAGAGAGTTCACTTCCCGATAAACAGTATCTTATATCCTCTTTGAGAGATAAGACAATCTATAAGTTCAAAATAAGTAAATACTATTCACACTTTGCTAAGGATTAAATCTTGGATTCAACAGAAAACTATGATGTGGGGTCAAACTTGATTCAGATATCTAAACTTATTGTAAGCATGGATCCTCGGTTTCAGTTTGTCATTTCATCTTGTGGAACCTATACCTGCTATTGACAGTGACTCGTTCCATGATTTGCAAAATGGCTGCCTGGTGCCATGAAAACTATTTTCATGGTTACTGATGTATCAGGTGCATAAGGTTAGATTAAAGTGGCTGTTTGCCTAGAGGGGTTACCATATTATAATTAATCCAGTTTTAAAAGGATACAATTTCTTTGAATCTACGTTTGAGTAAAGTTGTGAATTTTTGTGATCCTTAGCAAAGTGTGAGTAGTATATGTAAGAGAGAAATCAAGCAAACATCATGTATTCGTCGCTCAACAACCATGGCCCAGGTCGTGGGGATTTTACGAGCACATCGATCAGTTTTAACATCGTTTCACGCACATGTTACATCGCGCATGAAGTTGTGAGTGTGTGTATGTGTGGGTGTGATCAAGTTGGGAGTGAATGCGTGCGTGTTGAAATTGTGTGCGTGTGTGTGTGTGTGTCTGTGTGTGCGTGCGTGCGTGCGTGCGTGCGTGCATGCGTGCGCGCTGTTGCCATCAGACACTGTCAGAGAGGTCACAGTAATATGCTACATGCGGTATGGGAGACATATGATGGCGACTTACAGCGTGTTAATGCATCACACTCCCAACGTTATCGTGGGTGATAATTATGTGCAATTACAAACAACAACAAACACTGGTGACTGCATGCCACAGTATCGGTGCTATTCTGGAATACATTGTCAGCTCACTTCACCTCACATCTGCTGTTTTGTGCATCACAAAGTTTCACAATGGTTCAGCTGTCACATGACATGAGACCAGTTGGTTTACAGGTGGTTGGTTATTGTGTTTTGCCAGGCTATTCCCTACTTCCTGCTTCTAATGGGACTGGAGGGGGTGGTGCTGGCAGCCCAAGGGAAGGAACTCCCCCGAGCTAACGATGCATTCAGCTCTATAAGTGCAGGATTGCTGTCGTTACTTCATGGGTGAGTTTTATTACCATGGTTACATTCAGAAATGTTTCTGTTTGTCATTGTTAGAACTGATTCTTGACAACCATGAGTTATTTGAAGAATTTACTCTGTTATGTAACTGTAAAGTTGGTTAGTTTGCTACATCAGTAGTCACAACTATAAACATAGTTTAACATTCTTAGCATTATAAATACATCAACTAAAGAATAGATAGTAACTGCTAGGATTTGTACCTGTGCATAATGGGTATCAATGTACTTGTGACGGCCTCACACAGAAAGCACTCATGTCCTTACAACACACACAGAGTAAAGATCTGGGCTAGTAAGAGCTGGTCATAAGAGACGACTAACGAAATCGGGTGCAAGACTTGCTGACTCGTCATTGTATCCTAATTGCATAGATCAATGCTCATGCTGTTGATCACTGGATTGTCTGGTCCAGATTCCATTATTTCCAGACACCACACAGCTGGAATATTGCTGAGCATGACACTCAACAACAAACAAACAAACGACATAAGCACATGGATGCATTTTCTGGAGGTCTGTAATTTGTGAAGGAAGGCATGGCTCCCGTTTGTATGTTGGCTCAGTAAACCAAGAAATGCTACTCTTGCATATTATCAACCTTATAGGGGTGGAAATAACTTTATAATTGCTAGTGTACTCCGGTACAGTGGCACATGTAAAATCACTTGCCCTGATAATTTTTCCACTATACCGGACGTTTTCTTGTTGATTTTTTAAATAAACAACATAATTAACATTGGAATATCAACTGGACACCGGTACAGTGTGATATACAAATTTGCTTGCCCGACAGAAAAAAACACTGGACTCGGGTGTCGGGCAATGGGTTATTTCCACCCCTGCCTTATTATGGGTACAGTTTACAGCTGGTGTTCAAGTAACTGTAACTGTTTCCAAATGAAAAATAACATTGTAATATGAGTGGAGTGTTTTGTGCTGTAGGCTGTTGTTTCGGGCGGTGGAACTGGCGTGCTTCATCTGGGTGTATGAACGCTTCTCTTTCATCACTCTGCCTTGGGACTCTCCATTGACATGGTTTCTTGGCTTCCTTGGAGTTGATTTCTCATACTATTGGGTACATCGCTGTGGGCATGGTGAGTAGATGTCTTGGATCTTCAGCTATGGAGTGTAGATTCATCTATTACTGGGTACCTTGCTGTTGGCATGGTGAGTAGACATTATCCACCACTCGTACGTTGCTGTTGGCATGGTGAGTTGACATTAGCCATCACTGGTGCATTGCTGTTGGCATGGTGAGTTGACATTAGCCATCACTGGTGCATTGCTGTTGGCATAGTGAGTTGACATTAGTCATTACTGTTGCATTGCTGTTGTCATGGTGAGTAGACAGTAGTCATTACTGGTGCATTGCTGTGGGCATGGTGAGTTGACATTAGTCATCACTGGTGCATTGCTGTTGGCATGGTGAGTAGACATTATCCACCACTGGTGCATTGCTGTTGGCATGGTGAGTTGACATTAGCCATCACTGGTGCATTGCTGTTGTCATGGTGAGTTGACATTAGCCATTACTGGTGCATCACTGTAGGCAGGTTGTGCATACTGCTACTGGGTATGTCTCACGTGATGTTCAAGGAATCATTTCCTAAAGACTGTCTATTGTAAAAGCCATTCATCACTGAGCTTAACTGTGGTCTTGTTATTGATGCCTACATTACAAACAGCAATTCTCCCGGTTTGGACAGGTTCAATAAATTGCAATTTCCCTTCACATGCTGCCTTTCCCAAGTTGATGATACACGGTGTTGATGGAACCAGATGTGTTAACTCCAGTGGACAGAACCTGGAATGGTTTCTGTCGAAGCGTTGTTCGGATTGACACCAGTTTTAGAATAAAATGAAATTTGGGCAATTGAAATTTAATTGTTGTTGAGTAAAAGTGTATGTTTGCCTAGTTTAACAGTAATGGTTGTTTGATGAGTGGGTGTGTTGCTATGATGGCTGGTTATCTGACTGACAGATTGTATGTATACTTCTTGTGTTCTAGAGGTCAACCTGCTGTGGGCAGGACACCAAGCCCACCACAGCTCAGAGGATTATAATTTGACCACAGCTCTCCGACAGTCGGCTATATTGAAATATTTCCAATGGGTGAGTTGACAGAGCTTGTACATTGGTTATTCAAGGTATGTAAGTGCAGCTGTGTTTGATCTTTGTGATGGTCAGATTACAGCAGGTGCAGCCAGGGTAGCCACATTGTCCTACACACAGAACAACAGGTTTATTGAAGCATCACAATAAATACTCAGCATCATTTTTAAGAGTTCCTGCAGATAATAATAGATTAAGGTATTAAAAATTTTTGCATTTTCAACTTTTAAGAGAGCTGCTCAGTTGCTTTATCTGTCATCTTCAGTCTTGCACTTCATTGTTTTTAAACATTGCCCAGTTCCCAGCTACATAAAAGCCTACTGTCAGGGTAACACAGACATAAACAGCATGTGTTTCAGCTGTTCATCACCAGGGTTTTACACAGACTTTGAAAAATGAGAGTCATGGTGACTCAGTATTTATTTTTGGGAGTCATTTTCAATATTTGGGAGTCATGAAAATTTTAGTGGTGCTATGTGTAAATCAAAAAGCAAGATTTTTGCAAAGAGTTTGTTGTTTAGTGTTGTATTGTCATTTATATGATTAGTTCACAAATAGTACCCTTGACCCTTAAAATCAGTATCAAAATGGTATCTTTCGTACATAAGCTGAATACACATATCACAGGTCATGATTTTATTGACTCTGATTTGAAGTTGGTTTTAGTGCTTGATTTATTTGTATCATCATTAGAAACGTAAGGAGATTTGCTTCTCTCGCTTTCATTAATGAAAAATGATTCAAGCGACGCTGTTTCCGAGCAGGACTGGCCATGCTTAAATGACCAAAACATAGTACTCAAATGCTATTGGCTGGTATCTTTACCGCATTGCCGCATAGTTCTATTTTTAACCACTCGGTGTTCCGTACTTTCTGTTATTAACACAAGCGTTTTCAACGCAGTTTGCAATAAACTATTTTTGTTTACTTATCAAATCGATTTCATTGAACTGAATTCTGAGGGTCACTCATAAAACTTGCGTCAAGCTTGACTCGTATGATAATATTTTAAGAGTCTTTCAGAAAATTGTTGCGTCAAATACACAGGAATCACGCGTAATGTAAAACCCTGCTTCACATTGTCCACATCCCCAGACACATTGCATATATTCCTGTTTGACAGCCTACATACACCAGAGACCCTTCAGTTATAATGCCGAGTATAGTTTATCAAAGACTGCAGTTTTACTGTCGAGAGTATTTCTTTCAATGCATTCCTTGAATATGGTTATTCAGCAGAATGTTTGATCTAAATCACTATTCAAAGTCATACTGAATACATTGCATTGTGCTTTGTTTAGTGTGTGAACCGTGAAGATGGCGGGTGAGAATTGATCTTCGTTAGCCCATGCTTGTCATAAGAGGCAACTAACAGGATCGAGTGGTCAGGCTCGCTGACTTGGTTGACACATCATTGTTTCCCAGTTGTTTAGAACAATGCTCATGCTGTTGATCACTGGATTGTCTGGTCCAGACTCAATTATTTACACACCACTGCCATACAACTGGAATATTGCTGAGTGCGGGGTAAAACTAAACTCACATACTCCTTGTTTGTTTGCTTTTTTTGTTTTCTCCGTGCACGACTCATGACTCATTCAATGTGCAACCTGACTATTTATCAGCCATGTTCTGTCCCCAGGTCTTCTACATGCCATTGGTATCATCCTTTAATCAGCCATGTTCTGTCCCAAGGTCTTCTACATGCCACTGGTATCATCCTTTTATCAGCCATGTTCTGTCCCCAGGTCTTCTACATGCCAATGGCGCTGTGTGTTCCACCCTCCATCTTCTGCGTCCACAACCAGTTCTGCATCCTCTACCAGTTCTGGATACACACTGAGGTAAGTCCTGCAAAATCTGTTGTTATTCCACTACTGTGGCAGGTGTCAGTACTTCAGGAAGCAAAAATCAATCTGTTCCATATCGACTGAGGCTGTTTTTCAGACGCTGACCCCTCAGCCAGGTATGTGTTGTTGTCATGAACTGGATGCGTGATAGTATCATGACATGTGTAAGAATTTCTAAGGTGCATTGCTGAAGGATTAAAGGTGCTGATTATACTAACGTCATTATGGGCTGACATTGTGACTGTCCAAATTACCTTCGCTGCGACATTGCATATTCTTTGCTAACAACATGCTTTCAATACTGCCATATATTTATTTTGGTCAATGAAATAGTTTCTTGAAACAATATTTGAATATTGTCATCTTGAAATGTTACTGATTATTTCAACCATCTCTCACACAATGCAAACATCCACCTGCTTTAACTGTAATTCAGATCAAACTATTCTTTAATACATTGCACATGGGAGTAGAGCAAACTTTGTTTGTTGAATGACTGATCTACCATCCTTTTCTTACGTCAGCTTGAGGCAGACAAATATCACAGTGTAGATGCTGTGACTAGTAATAAATTGTAAAAATGCTTCACCAGACAATAACGAAGCTTGGCCCCTTAGAGTACATTATCAACACCCCAAGCCACCACCGTGTCCACCATGGCCGCAACCCCTACTGCATCGACAAGAACTACGGCGGCACGCTCATCATATGGGACATACTGTTTGGTGAGGATGCACTTGTTGGTGATAACATGCTGTTCACAAAAGGGCGATCCTCTCAGATGTGTGTAACACTGGTGATGACTGGTCTGTGACTGTATTGTGTAACACTGGTGATGACTGGTCTGTGACTGTATTGTGTAACACTGGTGATGACTGGTCTGTGACTGTATTGTGTAACACTGGTGATGACTGGTCTGTGACTGTATTGTGTAACACTGGTGATGACTGGTCTGTGACTGTATTGTGTAACAATGTGGTGATGACTGGTCTGTGACTGTATTGTGTAACAATGTGGTGATGACTGGTCTGTGACTGTATTGTGTAACAATGTGGTGATGGTTGGTCTGTGACTGTATTGTGTAACACTATGGTGATGGTTGGTCGGTGACTGTATTGTGTAACACTGTGGTGATGACTGGTCTGTGACTGTATTGTGTAACACTATGGTGATGACTGGTCTGTGAGTGTATTGTGAACACAATGTATTCCCCACATGGGCACAATGTGTTAAGCCCATTTCTGGTGTAACAATGTGGTGATGACTGATCTGTGACTGGAATATTGCTAAAAGCGGCGTAAAACTAAACTCAGTCAGTCAGTCAGTGAACACAATGTGGTGATGACTGGTCTGTGACAGTATTGTGTAACACTATGATGATGACTGGTCTGTGAGTGTATTGTGTAACAATGTGGTGATGACTGGTCTGTGACTGTATTGTGTAACACTGTGGTGATGGTTGGTCGGTGACTGTATAGTGTAACACTATGGTGATGGTTGGTCGGTGACTGTATTGTGCAACACTGTGGTGATGACTGGTCTGTGACTGTATTGTGTAACACAATGGTGATGACTGGTCTGTGAGTGTATTGTGTAACACTATGGTGATGACTGGTCTGTGAGTGTATTGTGTAACACTATGGTGATGACTGGTCTGTGACTGTATTGTGTAACACTGGTGGTGATGAGTGTATTGGTCTGTGAGTGATACTGGTCTGTGAGTGTATTGTGTAACACTATGGTGATGACTGGTCCGTGACTGTAATATGTAACAAGGTGGTGATGACTGGTCTGTGAGTATATTGTATAACACTATGGTGATGACTGGTCTGTGAGTGTATTGTGTAACACTATGGTGATTACTGGTCTGTGACAGTATTGTGTAACACTGTGGTGATGACTGGTCCGTGACTGTATTATGTAACAAGGTGGTGATGACTGGTCTGTGAGTGTATTGTGTTACACTGTGGTGATGACTGGTCTGTGACTGTATTGTGTTACACTGTGGTGATGACTGGTCTGTGACTGTATTATGTAACAATGTGGTGATGACTGGTCTGTGACTGTATTGTGTAACACTATGGTGATGACTGGTCCGTGAGTGTATTGTGTAACAATGTGGTGATGACTGGTCTGTGACTCTATTGTGTAACAATGTGGTGATGGTTGGTCTGTGACTGTATTGTGTAACAATGTGGTGATGACTGGTCTGTGACTGTATTGTGTTACACTGTGGTGATGACTGGTCTGTGAGTGTATTATGTAACAATGTGGTGATGACTGGTCTGTGAGTGTATTGTGTAACACTATGGTGATGACTGGTCTGTGACTGTATTGTGTAACACTATGGTGATGACTGGTCTGTGACTGTATTGTGTTACACAGTGGTGATGTGATGACTGGTCTGTGACTGTATGACTGGTCTGTGTTACACTGTGGTGATGACTGGTCTGTGACTGTATTGTGTAACAATGTGGTGATGACTGGTCTGTGACTGTATTGTGTAACAATGTGGTGATGACTGGTCTGTGAGTGTATTGTGTAACACTATGGTGATGACTGGTCTGTGACTGTATTTTTCAACACTGTGGCAATAGTTTGTGACTGTATTGTTGTGTGTTCCAGGTACCTTCCAGCAGGAAGAGGCACCGGTTGTGTATGGCCTTGTCCATCCCCTGGGAACCTGGGAGCCTGTCATGGTACAGTTGTGTCATCTGAAGCACATAATTAAATCAGTAAAGAACATAGAAGGGCTTGGCAACAAGCTGTCCGTCATCTTAAAAGGCCCTGGATGGGAGCCTGGCAAGCCTCGCCTCGGATGTAAGGAAGACTTGCCAGAGGTAATGTCAGCCATGTCTTTACTGGATGCGATATGATTAGTCCTGTCTTCATACAATGACACATAAAGTACAGTTGTTTGTTTCATTAGAGCTGATATTAATTGTCAACTGTCTTACAAATCAGAAACATTTCCATTCTGGTGAGAAATACAGTTATGTGATGAGTGTCTGTGATAAATTTTCTTCAAGGCGACATCCCCATCATGTGCAAAGATAATTGTCGTTGAAGTGTTCACACCTCAATGTTCATGACCATTACACAGACAAACCAAGTAAACATATAGTCAAACACAAGAAGAATTTATTATGCATAGCTGTAATGTTAAAGATAATGTCTCTTTAAAGTGGAACAAATTTTATGGATGAGCAACTTCTTTATTGCAATAGATGCATCCATAAAAATTGTTCCTCTTCAGAAAACTTTTATCCTCTTCATCATACCAGCTTCTGAGTCCCACTTAAAGGGGCACTGATCCAGAGCAATTTCCGTGGACTGGTTGTTGCTTTTGTTATTGTTTTTCTCCCGTGAGTACCCAGATGATATCCCAGAATTCTTGACTAGTTCGTAACCTCTGCTGCGCCACCCAAATGCACAATTGATAGACTGATCAACAAAGATGAAATCTTTTTTACTCGATAATATATCCATCTTCATTATTATGATAACAAATGAAAACATTTTGAAGTTTAACCATCTGCCAGTGTTAGAACATGTTAGGACTGAAAAATAAAGTCAAAGTACGTCTTTATATTTTGTCTTATAATACTACATTTTTAAACTTATCCTATCTCACGGTATGCACCTCTCTCTTCGTCTTTGACCCATATGTAAAAAGGTGCTGTAGGCTAAGTTGAGTCAAAACTTCTTGGCCTCTGTACCACCTGACCTCTGGCCCCACTCCAATAGCATGACCCGCCAATCATCTCTATAAGCATGCAGTGCGCTCAGATGATCATGTGACGTCCCCTAGTTGTCATTCTCTTTAATGTCGCCCACTGCTGTGGACGTGTGTTATGTTCTGTCTGCCACTCGTCTCTACTTTTTATCATGAGGAAGTAATTGATCTTTGAGACAATTACAGAAGTATTTTTCCTGCCGCTGATCCTCACCCACTGTAGGTTGATTGTATCAGATGGTGTGACAGGCTTCACCGTTGCTCTTATTGTGCCAATTTGGATGATGAAGCATGCTCAGTTATCGTGGAATGGGAACAATAAGATCAACGGTGAAGCCTGTCACACCATCCGATACAATCAACCTACAGTGGGTGAGGATCAGCGGCAGGAAAAATAATACAACTTCTGTAATTGTCTCAAAGATCAATTACTAAATAGCTGCCGTTTATCACCATCACCAGACGAAGATTTCTCGATGCAGCATCGGATTCCTACCTCAGCGAGAATTACGTTGGTTTTTCCGAGTCCAGTATCAGGACAGGATGACTCCCCCAACTCGGGTAGTGAACTTCATACTTCGCCGTCACAGTCCCGATTGACAGTTCTTGTGACTTTTCTCAAACACCTGATACGGCATTGTCAGCGCCAACTGGCAATGTGTCTCGTATTTTCTGGATCGGCATTTAACTTACCTACAATGATTTATTATAGTGCGAGCTTGTCTACGGCGATCCCTCAAACCCCAGTGACAATATCAAGTTCAACAATCCCTGTTAGTTCGGCGTTTTTCTGTCTAGTGCACCGCTTCCATTCGGTGTTACGCTCTAGTGTGCCGATTATGTATGGGTCGAGTGTACTCCAGTGCGTCACTCTCACACAATTCGACGCTCCACAGCGGATCTACAGCAGTACGCTTGTGTTTGGTTCGTCATTTGGGCCAGAGCGTCGTTTCAGTTGGGTCCGGCACTTTGTACCAATGCGTCGCTCTCACAAGGTAAGAAGAGACCAGTGCATCATTTCACTTCAGTTAACCGCTCCCGGTCCAACACATTAGCCCAGTGCACCGCTTTCGATTGGATCAACGCCTCAGCCCAGTGTGCCTTTTCGATTAGATCAACGCTTCAGACCAGTGTGTCATTTTCAATGGAACAACGATTCAACCCAGTGAACTGTTTTTGATTGGAACACCTTTTCAGTCCTGTACACCATTACTGTATGGTACGACGTTTTAGGCGAATGCACCGGTTCCGATTGTCTCAGCGCTTTAGATCGTGAATGTGGCCGAACCGGATCACCCTGCCGAACCAGATCACTTGACCGAACCGGATCACTGTACTGAACCAGATCACCTTTTCGATCCAGATCATCGAACCAACCTAGATCTCAGAACCGATCCTGATTGCCGAACCATACCAGATCGCCGCACCATACCAGATCGCCACTCCAACAGTATTGGCCAATCCGACAGTGTTCGCTGAACTGTCAGCTTTCGCGGAATCATCTGATTACCTCTATACTGTCATCATGACAGGTTTGCTAGTTTGCACACTATGGTACCTACAGTGACTTTTTCTGCTGCAGTTAACCCTCAACACTTCTTCCAACTTTGGCGTTGCTACCTCATTTCTACAGTTTTTACTGGTGTTCAGGTTGGCTTTTGGGGTTACACTTCCTGCTTCTACGGTGTCTATGAACATACAGAGCGTTCACTCCAATGAGCGCTTTCATCCAGTGCGACGCTTTGTCCCAATGCGCCACTTTCATTCACTTCCTGGTAATCTACTAGTGCGCCGATAGTATCCGGAGTGCCGCTTTACTCCAGTGCGCCGCTTTACTCCAGTGCGCCGCTCTCTTATGTATCAACGCTTCCATCCAGTGTGCCGCTCTCTTATGTATCAACGCTTCCATCCAGTGTGCCGCTCTCTTATGTATCAACGCTTCCATCCAGTGCCGTGCTTCCAGTTAGTGCATCGTTTCGGCTGGTTGTACAGAGGTAGTAGTTATGTCAGTAGCGCAGGCCTCTACATTACGGCGGTGATTGACGATCCCAGAGTTTTAAGATTCCTCCATCATCTACCCTCTGATCTTCACCTTTGATGAATGATTCGATTCAAGGAATGTACCCTTCGACGTAGATATCAGCTCTACAACCACCCAGTTTGACATATTTGTCCACAAACTTGACGATGATTTGAAAGGAAGGGTGCTGAGGTTGACGAAACAGACCACGATTACACCCAGTGATACACCACACAGCTGCTACGAGTAGTCTGTAGTAACAAGACTCAGTGAAGTGTCTTGGAATATTCCTGAATATCAAGCTGGTCTAGTAATGCACAGTTTCTGCATGTGGTACCAGCAGTGATGTTTGGTCAAGTAGCTAGCATCAATTTACCCGGATTTTATGGTTAATCGACGACCGTGTTGTCCGGTTTTTGTCACTATTGCATTGTGGGTTGCATTTGCAATGGAGGACTACTGTGTGTTTACCGGAGACTTTTGATGATTACAGTGACTATGAAGTGCCCTGACAGACTTGTCTTGGTCCCACGAAGCGGATAACTATCCCAGCCTTTAATTGCCAGTGATGATGAATGGTGCTATTCCTGGTAAGAGTTTCATCGGACAGCCGAGAGAAACAGTTTAACGAGGGTGTCAGACAAAATTGCCTGAGAATGCTTTCACTTTGGCTAGGGTTACTTGGTTCTTAGCTTAAGCCCTCAGTTCAGAGGTCACTGCAGCTATGTCCGGACTGTCCGCAGGCATCGATTTCACTACCTTCGTCTCCCTTCCTGGGGTCACTGGTCTTTTTACCTCCCCCAATCCATCAACTTTACGAATGTTCCGGTAGATTGACGATCACATGCCTCGCATCTACTATCTTTTTTCACTCCATCTGGTGGACCAACACTTCATTTGGCGAACCATACGTTACTGCGATCACTGATTATACGACCTGCATCACTATGTGTACAATTTGAACGTTCCTGTAGATTGACTGACAATCTCCATGCCACGAACCTACTACATTCAGCACTTCTTCAGTACTGTCATGCTGGCTTGTCTAATCGAATGTATCCTATCTCAGGAGAGATTCCTTCTTCAGTGGCAATAGTTACTAGGCCTTCTGACATCAGCTCAAGCCCCAACGTACAGAAGCCATCTCCTACTTCGGCGATACAGCGATTTCCACGCCCGTATCTCGAGGCTGTCAACTGAACCCGAAGGAATTGCTTCACCTTCCAGAACCACTTCGTCCAGTCCTTCAGTGGTGGCTCGATGAACTGAATGTCTGTGCTGGAGTTTCTATGGTACCCCTAGTGCTTTCGCAACCCAAGATTCTTCGTCAGTGGCAAGAACTTCTGGGTCTGTTGACGCCAGTTCAAGCTGTGACTCTCAGGGGATAGCTTCAACTACGGCCTCTCCAATATTTTCTGTGTCCACACATCAGGATCGGCGACCCTCACGCCTTGATCTCTCTTTCTCCAGTGCTCCATCCCCATCTTCAGTCGTGGTTGGACGTGTAGAATGTTTGCGGCGGAGTCTCTTTAAGGCCGTTTGCTCCAGTACATCACCTGTATGTAGTCGCCTCTCTACACAGGTTGGGAGCTCACCTTCTCAATCAGCAGGTGGCAGGGCTGTGGTCTCCCGCAGACCGCGCATGTCACATGAACGTTTTGGAGCTCAGGGCAGTGATTCTTGCAATCACTCATTGGCAACACCTGTTACAATCAACCAAGCTTTTGATTTGATTGGACTATGCTGCAGTCGTGTGGCACATGAATCAAATGGGATCCACGGGTTCTCCTCAGCTTCTTCAGTGGACACAACAGTTTTTCCAGTTAGTGGACTCTCTCAACATCACGGTCCAGGCCAATCACATCCCAGGCGTGAAGTATGTCATTGCAGATTCTCCATCCCGTCCGGTTGGACCATACCCGATGGAGTGGAAACTGCATCCGCAGGTGTTCCAGACTTTGTGCCTTCCAGAAGTTTGTTCGTAGACTTGCAAGACTTGGCCGACCCATTCCAGTACCACTTCCCGATCGTGCAAATCTTCTGGTTCATCTTCACTCCGATCAGCTGCATTGGTGTCCGCTCATACTCCATCTTCACGCCTGGTGCATTTACATGAATTGCTAACTGCAAAAGGATATTCCAAGTGTTTCGCTACGGTGATTACCACAGTGCACCAAACTTCCACCAGGTCTCTCTGTGATGACTATGGAAGAATTTTGAAGAGTACTGCAAGGCGAAGGGTATTGTATCTCCCACTACAGCATCGCCACAGATGGTCGCGGAGTACCTCCAGCATCCTAGAACTTCCAAGGAATTGAACCTTGTCTACGTACCTGGCCTCGCTTAACACAGTTATTGCACCGGCTATGGGTGGAAAGGTGTCAACTGTCCCTGAGCTCCAGTCTCTCCACAGATCTTTCAAGTTGCTGATCAATCCCGGAAGTTCCGGCCACCAGCCTGGGACCTGTCCATGGTTCTTAACCATCTCAGGAACACAAACCTCTGGCGGAGAAGGATTTCGAGCATGTCACATTTAAGACTTTCTTCCACCTGGCTCTTGCGACTGCTGCTGCATCTCCGAGCTTCACGCACTAGATGTCACCCAGTTGCGCTTCTACAGGACCAGACATGCCAAAGTCCTCCCTGGTTTGAGGTGGGATCTCGTCGCTGAAACCAGTTCCCTGGACAGCCGGACAGACTATTCGCCATTCCGCCGCTGTCCACTATTCTGGGCCCTGACGACATCGAGGATCTCTCCATATGTCCTGTCCGGACTTTACAGGTCTATTTAGCTGCCTCCAAGGACCATCGTAGGTTACGCAAGAGACTGTTTATTCCTCTGTCGCCTGCCTCATCTACACAGCTCTCTCGTACCACACTGGCATTCTGGATGTTATCTACCATCCTTCATGCCTACGCCAACGCTGACCTTCCTCCTCCTACTACGGCCAACACGTATGAGACAAGAGCCTTGGCCTCTACGATGGTGCTACACAGAACTGTTCCCTTCACAGCATCATGGAGGGTTGTTTTTGGAGATTAGACTCGATCTTCGCCTCACCCTACCACCAGGATCTGTCTGTCACTGACGTGGAAGGTCTTCACCAACTGGGTCCATTGGTTCTAGGGCAGCAGTTGTCGTCGGCTTGCAAACGCAGATAAGATGCAGTTCCTACCTTCGTGTCGGTCTTGCATTTCCTATATCAATGAAGGATATCGATCCTATCTTTCTTATTGGTATGGATTATATTTGGGCATACACCACCTCACCTAGGGAAAGAGGGCGTGTTTGCACTGCCATACTCATGACTCGATAGACTGAGAGGCCAGTCTTGTGATACATGCAGAGGTGGTCGACACTCCACATACTGACCTCTACTCTCTGAGCAATTACGTCAGTGAAGTGTTGATTTCGGATTACCTACGTGGTTTTCGAAGCGTTCCGGTCCTAAGTCCTTTCTCACCTTTGGAAAGTTAGGGGGATTGGCACTGAACGTTAAACGAATTGAGCAACCGGGCTATTCCATCTTTCGCTGCCTTCCAGCGTGTGTCTGTGGGGGGTAGTTTCAAAGCAGGGACTGTCCAGATTAAGGTCTTCGACGTAAATTCACTGGGGTCACTTGATAAATCGCGGGGAGGCGAGGTTTACTTGCCAAACTTGTAAAAAGTTGCGGCTGAAAACCACATTAATTCGGGACCGCGCAGTCCTTAGAGTTTTTGTGCTGTGTAAGCTAAGGGGTTATCAGAAGCAACCCATTGGAGTTAGCATATTGGGAGTTGGTGCTTTCTCCTGGCCTCCTTGTGTTATGCGACCTCACGGTTGTAGAATTGACACAGGGTAATCTGCGGCCCACCAGCCAACCGTGGGATAATGCATACCGTGAGATAGGGTAAATTTAAAAATTTGGAAATTTTAACTATAAATTTTATATTTATATACTTATCCTATCTCATGCGATGGATACCCACCCGACCTGCCCCACATCACAGATTACTGGAAGCTCCAAGATGAGAATGACAGCTAGGGGACGTCACATGATCATCTGAGCGCACTGCACGCTTATAGAGATGATTGACAGGTCATGCTATCGGAGTGGGGCCAGAGGTCAGGTGGTACAGAGGCCAAGAAGTTTTGATTCAACTTAGCCTACAGCACGTTTCCACATATGGGTCGAAGACGAAGAGAGAGGTGCATACCGTGAGATGGATAAGTTTATAAATATACAATTGATAGTTAAAATTTCCAATTAGTTTATTATCATATTTGTATGCATTTTGAAACTTAATAAAAGGCACACGATCTGCTTATATTTATAGTGAATTTATAACATGACTGTAGAAGGAGAAGAAGAAGGAAAAAAAAGTGGAAATATATTATAGATTGCCAACGTGAATCATATTCATACACACGCCCTATGTGCAACCTGGCGTATGTTGTCTGTCTCATACTTCACGGCGGAAAAATGATTCTGTTGAATGCTACAACAAATGAATAGAAACAAAATGCAAAAATATTAAAATTAAAACAGACTAAAGTTATAACAACAATATCAGACTATTACCTTGTTCGAGGAATGTATCCATCAATATCCACATAAAGGAATGAGATGCCATTCATCTGCAGCTGACAAAGAATCCCATGTGCCTTTTAACAGTCTAATATGGGAAAATGTGATATATCGTTATGACTATAGTGGTAGTTTCTCAACTGATCACGGACTGTTTCAGGTGTTTCACATTGGTGTATAGTCTCATTGGTCACCCATGATAGCACACCTGGCAACTAATTGCATGATGTCCGCCATTCTTAAAAAAAAAGTAATTTAGTTAGCTAATAATGAACAATCAATCAACGTATTGGCGGTTAATCCTTTGAAGGAAGGATGTTGTTTTTACACAGGTACTTTACCACAGGGTGTATTCAGTATAGATTAGTAAATCTACACACATAAACACTACCTTTGACAAATCCTCTGTGCAAGATAAAAGCAGTTAATCAATCAGCATGTTATCGGTTAATCCTTTGATCAATGTTTGTTTTTGTAACTCAGCTGATAATTGCTCTTGCTGCACTTCCATTCGCATATTACATAACATGTAATACATTTGCCACATCAGACCTTAAATGTTGAGTATTTACTCCAGACACGAGAAATGCCAAATGGGACCCTTTGTCGGGTACCGGTAATCTGAGTGGTGTTACCACTAATTATACCTGTTATAAATTCTGTAACTGACCATCAAGTGAATGATGACAAATAACGTGTAGGTTTATACCATCAAACATGGGTTTCAGAAAGGGAGTAGTAATCGCTATATTACATGCAATTTCAATGAAAAAAACTTATTGACCGACACTGTTTTGAGGATACGAACGGAACTTCTTTGCTGCATAAGAAATACATATAAGCATTTGCTGTGTACTTAAGTTAAAAACTTTATGTATATACCTATGTACCTAAGTAAGTTTTCAAATTTTACTAGCAATGGCAAAGTGGGGTTGTTTAGTTTACGGATTCAAATAAATCAAATGTGTGTTTTTAATATCATAGGTAATAAACATATTTTTACGAGACATGATTAAATATCACGGTAAAAAGTACAGAAATAGGATCAAATTGGATCAGTCACTATTCCATCCAAGCATTACAAAATCTGAAAAGCCTACAGTGCTGGGATACTTTATTGCTATCAGTCAAGAACTACCGGGGATATTTTCAAATAACGGCATCTTACAGACTAGCATCTGATGGGCATCCACTCTTCCTAATGTCCCATTGTTTAGGTTGAAGAAATTCTTTCACGGTTGACAGTAGCCCAGTCCCCGTGTCCGTCACGGTCGAGGGAGCAGGTAATGACCAGCATGCTACTTGGTTTCGTTATTAGACTGTTGACGAGAAACATTAATCGCTCTAGATCAGTGCCCCTTTAAAGAAGGAATAATGATTCTTTGTTCTGGGAAGCACATTTACAATTGCAAGACACACTATGTACTTTGCCCATATACTTTGCCCATATAATTGGACAAGGTCAGCATGATATTTTCTGTGTGTTGTGTATAGGTGGAGTCCCCAGTGAGGAAGTATGACCACAGTGTGCCCGTCAGCATCAGTGTCTATATATGGACCCACTTCACTGCCATCATTGCCGGCTACCTCCTCCTCTCTGTACACAGACAGGTACGTCACATCTCATCCTTGTGGGCCACCTCCTCCTCTCTGTACACAGACAGGTACGTCACATCTCATCTTTGTGGGCTACCTCCTCCTCTCTGTACACAGACAGGTACGTCACATCCTTGTGGGCTACCTCCTCCTCTCTGTACACAGACAGGTACGTCACATCTCATCCTTGTGGGCCACCTCCTCCTCTCTGTACACAGACAGGTACGTCACATCTCATCCTTGTGGGCCACCTCCTCCTCTCTGTACACAGACAGGTACGTCACATCTCATCCTTGTGGGCCACCTCCTCCTCTCTGTTCACAGACAGGTACGTCACATCTCATCCTTGTGGGCCACCTCCTCCTCTCTGTACACAGACAGGTACGTCACATCTCATCCTTGTGGGCCACCTCCTCCTCTCTGTACACAGACAGGTACATCACATCTCATCCTTGTGGACTACCTCCTCCTCTCTGTACACAGACAGGTACGTCACATCTCATCATCTTTGTTGGCTACCTCCTCCTCTCTTGTACACAGACAGGTGGCTACCTTGTGGGCTACCTCCTCCTCTCTGTACACAGACAGGTGCGTCACATCTCATCCTTGTGGGCCACCCTCCTCCTCTCTGTACACAGACAGGTACGTCCACATCTCATCCTTGTGGGCCACCTCCTCCTCTCTGTTCACAGACAGGTACGTCACATCTCATCCTTGTGGGCTACCTCCTCCTCTCTGTACACAGACAGGTACGTCACATCTCATCCTTGTGGGCCACCTCCTCCTCTCTGTACACAGACAGGTACGTCACATCTCATCCTTGTGGGCCACCTCCTCCTCTCTGTACACAGACAGGTACATCACATCTCATCCTTGTGGACTACCTCCTCCTCTCTGTACACACAGACAGGTGCGTCACATCTCATCCTTGTGGGCCACTTCCTCCTCTCTGTACACACAGACAGGTGCGTCACATCTCATCCTTGTGGACTACCTCCTCCTCTCTGTACACAGACAGGTACGTCACATCTCATCCTTGTGGGCTACCTCCTCCTCTCTGTACACAGACAGGTACGTCACATCTCATCCTTGTGGGCTACCTCCTCCTCTCTGTTCACAGACAGGTACGTCACATCTCATCCTTGTGGGCTACCTCCTCCTCTCTGTTCACAGACAGGTACGTCACATCTCATCCTTGTGGGCTACTACTCCTCTCTGTACACAGACAGGTACGTCACATCCTTGTGGGCTACCTCCTCTCTGTACACAGACAGGTACGTCACATCTCATCCTTGTGGGCCACCTCCTCCTCTCTGTACACAGACAGGTACGTCACATCACATCCTTGTGGGCTACCTCCTCCTCTCTGTGCACAGACAGGTACGTCACATCTCATCCTTGTGGACTACTACTCCTCTCTGTACACAGACAGGTACGTCACATCTCATCCTTGTGGGCTACCTCCTCTCTGTACACAGACAGGTACGTCAAATCTCATCCTTGTGGGCCACCTCCTCCTCTCTGTACACAGACAGGTACGTCACATCCTTGGGGGATAGACAAGTGCAGTATACACCCCTGCCTTCCTGTGTGCAGTGATGGTGTTTGTGTTGACAAGTGCAGTATACACCCCTACCTGCCTGTATGCAGTGATGGTGTTTGTGCTGTTGGGTAGGGGGTGGGTCTGTTGACAAGTATAGTATACACCCCTGCCTGCCTATATGCAGTGATGGTGTTTGTGTTGACAAGTGCAGTATAGACCCCTACCTGCCTGTATGCAGTGATGGTGTTTGTGTTGACAAGTACAGAATTCACCCCTACCTGCCTGTATGCAGTGATGGTGTTTGTGTTGACAAGTGCAGTATACACCCCTACCTGCATGTATGCAGTGATGGTGATGTGGTGTTTGTGTTGACAAGTACAGTATACACCCCTACCTGCCTGTATGCAGTGATGGTGTTTGTGTTGACAAGTACAGTATACACCCGCCTGTATACCTGCCTGTATACATGCAGTGATGGTGTTTGTGTTGACAAGTACAGTATACACCCCTACCTGCCTGTATGCAGTGATGGTGTTTGTGTTGACAAGTACAGTATACACCCCTACCTGCCTGTATGCAGTGATGGTGTTTGTGTTGACAAGTACAGTATACACCCCTACCTGCCTGTATGCAGTGATGGTGTTTGTGTTGACAAGTACAGTATACACCCCTACCTGCCTGTATGCAGTGATGGTGTTTGTGTTGACAAGTATAGCATACACCCCTACCTTCCTGTATGCAGTGATGGTGTTTGTGTTGACAAGTACAGTATACACCCCTACCTGCCTGTATGCAGTGATGGTGTTTGTGTTGACAAGTACAGCATACACCCCTACCTGCCTGTATGCAGTGATGGTGTTTGTGTTGACAAGTACAGTATACACCCCTACCTGCCTGTATGCAGTGATGGTGTTTGTGTTGACAAGTGCAGTGATGGTGTTTGTGTTGACAAGTACAGTATACACCCCTACCTGTATGCGCCTGTACCTTCCATGCCACAAGTATACACCCCGCCTGTATGCAGTGATGGTGTTTGTGTTGACAAGTAAGTATACACACCATGCTTGACAAGTGCTGACAAGTGCAGTATACACCCCTACCTGCCTGTATGCAGTGATGGTGTTTGTGTTGACAAGTACAGTATACACCCCTACCTGCCTGTATGCAGTGATGGTGTTTGTGTTGACAAGTACAGTATACACCCCTACCTTCCTGTATGCAGTGATGGTGTTTGTGTTGACAAGTGCAGTGATGGTGTTTGTGTTGACAAGTACAGTATACACCCCTACCTGCCTGTATGCAGTGATGGTGTTTGTGTTGACAAGTACAGTATACACCCCTACCTGCCTGTATGCAGTGATGGTGTTTGTGTTGACAAGTACAGTATACACCCCTACCTGCCTGTATGCAGTGATGGTGTTTGTGTTGACAAGTACAGTATACACCCCTACCCTTCCTGTATGCAGTGATGGTGTTTGTGTTGACAAGTACAGTATACACCCCTACCTGCCTGTATGCAGTGATGGTGTTTGTGTTGACAAGTACAGCATACACCCCTACCTTCCTGTATGCAGTGATGGTGTTTGTGTTGACAAGTACAGTATACACCCCTACCTGTATACACCCCCTGTATGCAGTGATGGTGTTTGTGTTGACAAGTACAGTATACACCCCTACCTGCCTGTATGCAGTGATGGTGTTTGTGTTGTACAGTATACCTGCAATGTGCGGTGATGTGTTTGTGTTGTATATGCAGTGATGGTGTTTGTGTTGACAAGTACAGTATACACCCCTACCTTCCTGTATGCAGTGATGGTGTTTGTGTTGACAAGTACAGCAGCCTGATGCGGTGATGGTGTTTGTGTTGACAAGTACAGTATACACCCTACCTGCCTGTATGCAGTGATGGTGTTTGTGTTGACAAGTATACACCCTACCTGCAGTGATGGTGTTTGTGTTGACAAGTGCAGTATACACCCCTATGCAGTGATGGTGTTTGCCTGTATGCAGTGATGGTGTTTGTGTTGACAAGTACAGTATACACCCCTACCTGCCTGTATGCAGTGATGGTGTTTGTGTTGACAAGTACAGTATACACCCCTACCTTCCTGTATGCAGTGATGGTGTTTGTGTTGACAAGTACAGTATACACCCCTAGTGCAGTGATGGTGTTTGTGTTGACAAGTGCAGTATACACCCCTACCTTCCTGTATGCAGTGATGGTGTTTGTGTTGACAAGTGCAGTGATGGTGTTTGTGTTGACAAGTGCAGTATACACCCCTACCTTCCTGTATGCAGTGATGGTGTTTGTGTTGACAGTAGTGCAGTGATGGTGTTTGTGTTGACAAGTACAGTATACACCCCTACCTTCCTGTATGCAGTGATGGTGTTTGTGTTGACAAGTACAGCATATACACCCCTACCTGCCTGTATGCAGTGATGGTGTTTGTGTTGACAAGTACAGTATACACCCCTACCTGCCTGTATGCAGTGATGGTGTTTGTGTTGACAAGTACAGTATACACCCCTACCTGCCTGTATGCAGTGATGGTGTTTGTGTTGACAAGTACAGTATACACCCCTACCTGCCTGTATGCAGTGATGGTGTTTGTGTTGACAAGTGCAGTATATACCCCTCCCTTCCTGTATGCAGTGATGGTGTTTGTGTTGACAAGTGCAGTATAGACCCCTACTTGCCTGTATGCAGTGATGGTGTTTGTGTTGACAAGTACAGTGATGGTGTTTGTGTTGACAAGTGCAGTATACACCCCTACCTGCCTGTATGCAGTGATGGTGTTTGTGTTGTGCCCCTGCTTCCTGTATGCAGTGATGGTGTTTGTGTTGACAAGTGCAGTATACACCCCTACCTGTCCTGTATGCAGTGATGGTGTTTGTGTTGACAAGTGCAGTGATGGTGTTTGTGTTGACAAGTGCAGTATACACCCCTACCTTCCTGTATGCAGTGATGGTGTTTGTGTTGACAAGTGTACAGTATACACCCCTACCTGCCTGTATGCAGTGATGGTGTTTGTGTTGACAAGTGCAGTATACACCCCTACCTTCCTGTATGCAGTGATGGTGTTTGTGTTGACAAGTGCAGTGATGGTGTTTGTGTTGTGTTGACAAGTATACACCCCTACCTTCCTGTATGCAGTGATGGTGTTTGTGTTGACAAGTGCAGTGATGGTGTTTGTGTTGACAAGTGCAGTATACACCCCTACCTTCCTGTATGCAGTGATGGTGTTTGTGTTGACAAGTACAGTATACACCCCTCCCTCCTGTATGCAGTGATGGTGTTTGTGTTGACAAGTGCAGTGATGGTGTTTGTGTTGACAAGTGCAGTGTACACCCCTACCTGCATGTATGCAGTGATGGTGTTTGTGTTGACAAGTACAGTATACACCCCTACCTGCCTGTATGCAGTGATGGTGTTTGTGTTGACAAGTACAGTATACACCCCTACCTGCCTATATACAGTGATGGCGTTTGTGTTGATAAGTATACCCCTACCTTCCTGTATGCAGTGATGGTGTTTGTGTTCCAGGACTACACAACGGAGATGGTGGTGACTAATGTGCTCTACATATGTTTCTCCCTGTCCACCTTCGGTCTGATGTATGACAACTGGTGAGTAGCTGGATATCACTTTGACACTCAAATAAGGGGAGGTTTATCCCACATCAGGGGAGGTAACTAAGCAAGGACTGCTGTGACAACTGGTGTGTGTTGGTGTTTCATTTTCTTCATGACTCTGTGTCCGTTAATGTTCTGTTTTTGTCCGATGCCTCCTTGAATTGCATTGAAACTATTTTCCCCATCGTCCTCTCCTGCAAGTTGCACTTGACCAGGTCAGCCTTAACAAGTGTTGAATTCATTGCTCTCCTCCCCTCCACATATAACACATGTACTAATAGGGACCTCAGTATACAAACACACCTACTAAAAGGGAACTTGGTGTTATAACACACATACTAAAAGAGAGCTCAGTGTTACAACACAACACATTAAAAGGTAACTAAGTGTAAAAACACACCTACTAAAAGGGAGCTCAGTGTTACAACACAACACATTAAAAGGGAATTCAGTGTAAAAACACACCTACTAAAAGGGAACTTGGTGTTATTACACACATACTAAAAGAGAGCTCAGTGTTACAACACAACACATTAAAAGGGAACTAAGTGTAAAAACACACCTACTAAAAGGGAGCTCAGTGTTACAACACAACACATTAAAAGGGAATTCGGTGTAAAAACACACATACTAAAAGGGAGTTCAGTGTTATAACACACCTACTAAAAGAGAACTCAGTGTTATAATACACCTCACATTGAAAGGGAATGCATAGCAAAAACACCTACTAAAAGGGAGCTCAGTGCAATAACACACCACACATTGAAAGGGAATTCAGTGTAATAACACACCTACTAAAAGAGAGCTCAGTGTTATAACACATCACCTATCAAAAGGGAGCACAGTGTTATAACATCTATTAAAAAGGAACTCAGTTTTATTACACGCCTTGCATTAAGAAGGAACTCAGTGTTATAACACAGCTTCTAAAATGAACCCTACAAGGATTCCCAAATGTTGCCTTGTCATCAAGGATGTGGAATAATGATTACTGTGAAGGATTCCCAAGTAATGTTTGTTGTGAATGTCCCCATGCTGCTAGTCCTTATCAATGTCATCATACAGTTCTATAATGACCTGCTATTATGACTCCCTATAACTGTTGTTTGTTTGTTTTTTTATGCTGCACTCAGCAATGTTCCAGCTATGTGTTAAGTCTGTAAATAATTGATGGTGGACCCAGACAGTGGCCAACTTCAATGTGATCACGAACATCAACCAAGTCCGTGAGACACCCTCTCCCTCACCTTCCAACAGTGACTCCCTGAACATTCCATGCTATTGAAGGCTCTGTGTTGCTCTGTTCCAGGAGGTTCTCGCCAGTCATGGAGCTGGTCAGATGTGTAGCATTCATCATGGCATATGAAGTTATGGACATGCCACGGTATCTGGAGTTGTCTCCCTTGTCTGTCATGTATGTCTTGTACTTTGGGTCATCGCTACTGTGGGCCGGCCTCCTCTTACAACAATGGCGCTTCACAGTCAAGGGACATGTGCAGTGAATAATGAAACTCATTGCCCTTACACAATTCTGACATTCTTTGTGAATGAAGTAAGGACAGTTCAAAGAGTTTCATAACAATACAAACTGCTCCCTCAAATTACTTAGATTTGTTACAGTTTCAAGAAGTGCCATCAGAAATTTCCTGCTATTGCATTTTATCCCATATCATCCTTTGTCAAATACCTGTCATACATGTCCATGAAGTATTAATAATAATGTCCCTCTTAACAACTGATAACTGCACTATACACAGTTTTGTCCATGTCAATGCTCAGATATTTTATGTCCCCTTGTACTTGGCTGATTGTCATCTATGAATGATGTCAGACAGTTTATACCTGCATGTATGTACTTGACTCACCAGTTAAAAGTGATGTTTTGTTCACATGCTATAGCTGATGGACCTGTGTGAATGATTTACCAATCTAGTGCATGTGTATACACGAAGGTCCTTGTCATTGTTTGTTGTTTAATGCCGCACGTGGCAATATTCCAGCTATATGGCGGCGGTCTGTAAATATTTGAGTCTGGACCTGACAATCCAGTGATCAACATCATAAGCATCTATCTACACAATTGGGATGCAATGACATGTGTCAACCATGTCAGTGAGTCAGACCAACCGATCCGTTAATTGCCTCTTACGACAAATATGGGTTGCTGAAGACCAATTCCTGGACCTTCATGATTCTGCTGGTCATGCACATTCCAATGTCTATTGATAAAGAACAACAGTCTTTCATTTTGTTTATGTTTTGTATGTTTGACTTGGAACTGTTAATAAACAGATATTACATGTATGCTACTTGTTTGTATGTTATTGAGGGATGTTCAGAGACTGGAGGAGTTTACAGGAGTTTATTTACATGCAACTCAACTCACTGAAGTCAGTTAGTTTTTTTCATGTTTGATTAGGTTACACATGAGCATCTGATATTCAAAGGAGAAGTTGATGGCTGAGGCCAAGTCCTTGTGGAAAAAATTAAATCGTTCCATAGACTGCCTAAAATGTAATTATGCTTGAAGCTGTTGAAAATGACAAATTGGCTTCTACAAAAGTTTTTATTACAGTAGGACAGTCATGTTAGGCAATGGCAATGATCGTCACCCTGAATAACGAAAATACAGTCAGACCTCGTTAATACAAACACTTTGGTTTTTTAATAAAAAAAACGTTCGGATAGTGAAACGTTCGTACTGCTGAAACCACAGTATATGCACCGAAGTCTATTAGGAAATAACAGACACAAGATAACACTGATAATAATTTATTACAAAAGACAAACAAAAACTTAACAGTCTGTAAACTACACTTCTCTCTCACTCACATAATTAAGTTTAAGAAAACCAGCTTTGTGAGGAAAAACATCAAACTCCTATAACCTCTTCAAAATAGAACCTCTCGAAACCAACCCGTCTAACTGGACATTACCCAAAGTCTATAACCTAATTCCTATTCCGATTCCTACTCCTAATTCTCCCCCAACCCGACCTAACACTAGTTTAACAGGAACCTAACTTCCCCATCTCAACAATCCATAGAGAAACTTCTTCTGAAAAGCCACCCCAAACCAACCCCGTTTAACTGGACATTACCCAAAGTCTTAAGCTTAATACCTATTCCGTTTCCTACTGCTACTTTTCACCCAACCCGACCTAACACGAACTTAGCATCCCCCTACATAAAACCTAACATTCCACTCTGCAAACGGGGAGGGAATGATCCTGAAACAGGACCTCGGGACAGAGATATTACCTGATGCTCGGATGACCGAAAGCTAGACACTGAATCCAGAGAGCCAGGTCACTTATATAGCGCTCCAGAACGACCTCTGACATGGGTCAAAGTTCACCTACTGATGACGGACGTCTCCGCCAATCAGAGCCTACCCAACATATTTAGCACCAACCACGTGGCCTACCCAATGTATCTAGCGCTACGATGAACGGTAAGCCCGGTCAAGAAGTTGTCCCGTAGTAGAGCAAGTGAAACAATGTGCTACAAGACTATTCGGTAGACAGTTATTCTACATGTGGTACGTATAGTTTGAATATCCTGTTATGAAGCCCCTGCCCCCATGCTTACGCTATAATTTAACCCAGTTTTTCTACATTCCTCCCCCCTTAAATAGTTATTTCCCCGAAATTACTTTATCCCCTAAAAAAACAAAACAAGGAAAAATGGCAAATTATTAACAAATACAAATCATTTGATGACACAACAAAATATCAATAACAAGAAATGCGAAAAATGCGAAAAGAGAGTCGCGGTCTGGGAAGTTACATCCCAGGATATAACAAGTCCCAATATCCAGGGGGCAGAGATCTGAGGGTCTCCTGGTCCTCCTCCTCCTGCTCCGCACGACTCGGACGTCGGGGCATGGCTCTTCGACGTCGGAGAGCCTCTTCCCTGGCGGCGACACGGTCTTCTGAAAGGGTGCGGGATGTCTCCGGAGCTGAGCGACTTGGCAGAACGGTGTCTCTTGGACAAATGTACCTCCTGTTCTAGGAATTCAGCTAACTCTCTCTCATCTGCATGGATTTCCATGTCTTAATGTAGTTCGCTAAATATTTCGCTGACTAAAAGAACGAAATTGAATAACATATGGAAAAAAAATGAATAAAATAGAACTAAACTTCTTGATCTAGCTTAGGGTTTCATTTTCATTCATTCAGGGCGAATATCTACAACGGGGTCTAACTACCCTCCCAGTCCTTGTCCTGGTAACAGGAACTGGAGATTCTCTTTCTTTTTCCCCCATACTGAAATACTGTCATTTAACTCCTCCTGTAAGGAAATGTCACTGGTAGAAGTACCTGCAGTCTGGACGGTTCTTCCCTACCCGACTGTAAAGTAGAATTGACAACAGCTATTCTTTCAACATGATCTGGCTCCCAACCATCCACTGCCTCAAACTCAATACCATATGCTACAGCTTGGTCTAAAGTCCTAGGGTAAGAGAAAGCAATATGTTTCTTCATGTTGAAGTTTGTCAACCCGGTCAAAAATTGGTCGATCAAATGAACCTCCATGGACACGTATGGAATATCTGGATATGCCAGATGTGCTAACCTCCTTAGCTGACACCCATAATCAGTGACCGATTCATCCCTGCCTTGTTTACGATTTCTAAACTCACTCCTGTAAGCTAAACACCGTTCTCTAGGATTAAACCTTTGTGTCAGAACGTTCTTAACGGCAGAATAACTATTGAGCTGACCCATAGTTAAGCTACTGAGTAACCTTTGAGCATCACCTCTGAGACACATTGTCAATTGTTGAGCTCTCTCGCTATCAGACCACCTATTCCAATTGGCAACCTGTTCAAAGTGTACCACATAATCCTGCCAGTCACAAGATTTCCCATCAAAACAATCAGGTCTAACTTCCCTTCGTGAGAGTCGAGATGACCCACTAGCAAGCAAAGATCCAGCTGGATCGCTATGATATGTCTCATTTCCAGCCGATCCTGAACCTAAAGGCTGTGGTATAAGTGGCCTTGGGTCCAAACCCAGACTAGCTGACGGGATACCCATCATGTCTTGGTTAAGGTTTCCCAAATGCCGACTTGTTAAGTTGAAACGAACGGACCTACTATCTATCCTTCCACTATCAAACGCTGCACTATCCTCCATCCGACCAAGATTCAAACCCGGAAATGGCGGTTGGACTGAACCAGTCGCTGTCGCACTCTGTGAGTTAGCTACTCCAATATCTACTCCAACCCCCCAACCTTCATCCTCTCTATTTACTGGAAGAACATTAGGTGTGGACGTAACAAACTGCATTGGACGTGTAGCTACAGACACAGGAGGAATAACATGCGTCTGATTCAAATTACCAGGCTGCTCACTGGATGAGAAACCAGCGTTGGATAGTGAAAACAAGCCGAACATATCCATGTTGAAAATAACCACGAACTACTCTAATAACCTCCCAAATTAATCTTATACAAAAAAACTACTCAAAATCATTTAAGTTACATTGTTTACTAATTACTATCCTGCTATATAAATGTGCAAATTATTTTATTTCCCTAACTTTATTAAATCCCGATCCGGGTCACGGCACCAAATCTGTAATAGGCGTGGTTCTCAGTAGACAATCACGGCCAGTGACAGCTGAGTTAAGTTACATAGTGTGTAGGAACATGATGTTTAATCAACCTTGTTTGGACTTTGCATTGTGTACTTTTATTTTTATAGGTGTGCGTTCGGGTTGATCTGTTCCCTACTCAAAACTCAGTGACCAGTTCGTAAATCGGGCATTAAGCCTATTGGGAAATAACAGACACAAGATAACACTGATAATAATTTATTACAAAAGACAAACAAAAACTTAACAGTCTGTAAACTACACTTCTCTCTCACTCACATAAAACCAGCTTCGTGAGGATATTACCTGATGCTCGGTTGACCGAAAGCTAGACACTGAATCCAGAGAGCCAGGTCACTTATATAGCGCTCCAGAACGACCTCTGACATGGGTCAAAGTTCACCTACTGATGACGGACGTCTCCGCCAATCAGAGCCTACCCAACATATTTAGCACCAACCACGTGGCCTACCCAATGTATCTAGCGCTACGATGAACGGTAAGCCCGGTCAAGAAGTTGTCCCGTAGTAGAGCAAGTGAAACAATGTGCTACAAGACAGTTATTCTACATGTGGTACGTATAGTTTGAATATCCTGTTATGAAGCCCCTTGCCCCAATGCTTACGCTATAATTAAACCCAGTTTTTCTACACACGAAAGAAGCAAAAACTATGGCGATTTTTTTCCATTTGTGACATTTCAGAACATGCCCGTGCCTTTTTCTTTTATATTTTCATTTTTACGTCATCAGAAAATTATTATAAAAAGATTTCTTAAATAATATGTATGGTCGCCTATTTCCCGATATCTGTGGCTTTCCGCTCGGTAACATGACATAACAACAGAAAATACCTCCGTTTTCGAAGCGTCGTATGAATATGTATGTACATGTATTCAGTCGGTTGTTAATCAAGTGCATCATGAAGGAAGACAATCAACTGACGATTGTATCAATTATTCTCACATTTACCACACTGACCATTCTCTTCCCACAGAGGTTACTTGTCATATCTTCCTATATCTTCCTATATCTTCCTATATCTTATATCTTCCTATATCTTCCTAGATATGACAAGTAACCTCGGTGGGAAGAGAATGCACACTGACCAGCTTCTCTATATTTATTGGGGCGATGGGGTAGCCTCATGGTATCAGCCTAATGGTTAAAGTGTCCGCGCGTCACACCCGGAAGACCCGGTTTCGATTCCCCACATGGGTACAATGTGTGAAGCCCATGTCTGGTTTTGGTGATATTGATAGAATATTGCTAAAACCCACGTAACGCCATACTCACTCACTCTGTCTCTATTCATAATGATGTAACCCCAAAGTGTATCCTTCATTTCAACCAAATGATTTATTTTTCCTTATCCTGATTCATGCTTATTTGCTTTCTCATCCTCTCTTCTGAACGGTCAAGTGGAAACTTGAATCCCTTCAATTCCCTTGAAGCGAACAATCACTCACCCTGAGTTACCTCCCTTATTCCCGCCAAAACCGGCAGGCTCCAGCATGATTTCTGATTTGTAAACAAACCCGTGGTACGGGGGAATACTTCATCCGCAGCCTTACAGTATACAACTACGGCCTGTTATCATCATGGGAATCTAATAGATGTTTAGCCTTGACAGCAGGATAAACGATGTTTATTTGGGAGTTGTCACTGATAAAAGTCGGTAAGAGTACCTGTCCCCTGCGACCGCC